ACATGGCTCAATTCTTGGTGTATAATTAATATTCATGTTTTAGAACACTTCTTTTAGTTAAATGATGAGAGCTTGCAGAAAAAGTATCCAATGTGTAGTGTATATAATCTAACTATATCAATTAATGGAAACAGAAGATTGAATAATCAACAGCACTATACATATTTTTCAATATAGTCAATTCACAACTAGTATTGAATTAGAATAACGTGAATAAAATTGATTTGATAGGAACAGTCGGGAGTTGATTTTTTTTTTTTTTGTCAACATAAGTATTTTATAAATTATTTAACCTCTAGTAATGGAGAAAATGTTTACAAAACACGATAATAAAGCCATACTGGTTAACAAAACCGATGCAATAAAGGCAAATCCGAAAACTAACATAAATGCAGTAGATGCACACATAACACTTAAACTACCTAAGGCATAAAAAAGTCCTCTAAACTCAACACCGATAGTGCTAAAAAGTGAGATGATAGCTAGAAGATAAATGGAAAGGAAGAGAATAACAAGACTTAGAAAGCCTGCTATTTCATTCAAATTTGTTTCCCATACGAGGAAAAAAGTTAGGACATCCGAGTCCGAAAATATTTGTATCCAGATGAAACCTGCGAAGCCTACGTACTTGAACGCCAACAGCCGAGTAAAAATTTCTTGAAACAGCAGCGGTCCATACTTGAGCGCCAACCTCAGGGTAAAGACTTTTTGAAACAGCAGCATCAAAGATATTTGAGAATCTTCATTGGGCTCGGACTGAAATATAGTGAGGTCACACAAGCGGTCAACAACAGGACATCCGAAGAAGACGATGAAATCTATCTCCCAATGGCCAAAGCTCTTCTCATTCTCTGGTAATCCTGAAACAACAGATAACACTGCAATAGATCCAATAGTTCGAAATGAACTCATAGGGAATTTTAGAAAAATATTCTCGTTCTGAGGTAAAAGATGGTTTAAAGAAAACCTAAATTCCTCATACTGAGGTAATATGAGCCTCATATTGAGGTAAATGAAGCCTAAACGAAGGCAAGATCCAATCAATATCACCTTGTTCCCAGGGGTCATAGAGACAAAACCTTTTGAAGGAGAGAAACACACATAAGAGTGCCATATCGCCAACTGAGGAATGGAGCAGATTTGGGCGCTGCACACAACAGAGAGACGCACAAGAGCAATGAGATTGAATCCAGAGGAAACGAAAACCCTAACGGCTGAGCCAGAGGTTGTCGATCCAGAAAACGGAGGAGAAGTTGCAGCGGCGTGTATAGAGGACTGGTCCAGCGGATCTGGTGGGTCGGGAGGCTCCGGAGGGTCGGGAGGATAGGAGATCCCGAGCAGATCTGGAGGAAGCTTTACCATCGACAGATCTGGGGAAGACCTAGGAAAAGACAGAAGAGCAAACACAGAGAAAAGGGCCATCGAAGAAAGGAAGAGGAGGGATGAAGAGAAAGATTCTCGTCGGTGGGCGAGAGGCTACACCAACGGCGGCGGCCAAGAACGAAAACCCTAGTCGCCAAATTAAGAAAAGAGTTTTTGATTTTTTTTTTTTAAAACATGTATATTAATATATCATATATCAAAATATTTGAAAATATAAAAAGTTGAATGGTTGGTTGTGGTAGTGGTACTTATATAAATATGTCATCGAACTTCATGTGAAAACTATTTGATTTTATCACAATCCACCAAAATTTTATATAAAAAAATTAACGATGTTTGGGGATTTAATAATCTGCAGATGCTTAAATAGTTAAATGATAGGTATTGAGTTTTAAAACTATACTTCTTAAACTAATATGTACGATTCCGTATTTTCTATTTCTCGAAATCGAGAGAAATTGGTTTTTACTTTTTGCTTTCTTTTTCAAAGAAAAAATTGTTTTCAAATTTCAACTAGTTAGTTATCTACAAAAAAAATGCTTTTGAAATAGGGAACTAATCAAATACATTTATATTTATAAACAAAAATTGTAAAAGACAGCTGTGTAAAATTAACAAACTGGTATCAAAAATCAGAAAATGAACCTGATTAAATTGTGGTTCAATAATATAAATATACCGTTCCCATTCGATAATACAATTAAAGTTAAGTAGCCTTGTAATTAGATAATAAATGTGTAGATAATTCTAACAATGTAAACCAACACCTAGGAAATAAATATAAAATAAAACCATCAAACAGAATTGTTGACAGAAATAAAAAGAAATATAGTCATTTTAAAAATATCATTCTCAAAACAAACTTTTTAGAGAATATGAGTTTACGTTGCTTTTTTATCAACATTTTTCATTTTATTTTCCTTTCTTTTTTAATTAAAATTTATCAACTAGTAATTATTAGAGTAGATTGGCAATATTATAGTTGTATTCTCTTAATTTTTTTGCTAAATTGCAATGAAACAGAATATTAGTTTATCGAATGAATGATAGATATAACAAAATTATAGTTTTCTTTCAATTTGTTCAGAAAGTTATGTACATATACGCATATCGAAAAATAAATATCTAGTTATATACATATATTCTCGAAGCATGTGTGTTTTTTATTAGACCGTATAGTTCTAATTGCCGCGAAAGTGTTTGCATTGACCATTCAATAGCCAAAGCCGTACCTAACTATCTAGATATATACTACTAAGTTATTTCTCAAATAATTAATGTTATACATAATAATATAAAGTTTAATTTTTTAGTATAAGAATATGATGCTCCGTAATGGTAGCTGCAACCATTAATGTTTCATAATTTTAAAAGTGAGGGAGGTCCTGCCACATTTAATGTTGTAAGAGTTGGACATTCTGTAATTTCTCTATTTAACTCCTTCTTTTAACCTATACCGAGACTACTTTCACATGCAGATATTAAATCTACGATGATGTAAATAAAAGCATGTTGTGTTATTTTAACTTTATTAACATAACAAACTAAGTAATTAGTGCAGATATAATCTTATTAAATTCAATCAAAATTGTATAAAACTTGTGACGGTATTTTTACATTTACTTTCTGTGTTTCTATGTAAACTTATCCCGTTTAATGTTTATGAAAATTAATGAATTTTATGTCAATTATTAAACATGGTTTCTGTCTTTCTAAAGTTCACGTAACATTGGTTTCAGATTAAAAAAAAACATGAAACATGGTTCGATATTAAGTACACCTGTTTTTGGGTTTAATTGTTGGGAACCCTACGTGAAATCAAGAATCTAATACTAATAGTTTATTCCATTAGTGAACCATGCTTACAGTAATATAGTTGAAATTAAATTAATTAATCATATTTTATGAAAAAATCAAAATCAAAATCATATACAGAAACACCTTTGTGAATTTCAAGAATATTAAGATCAAATGTCGTTTTCTTATGGAGATTTCTATTCCCTATGGAGGTATCTTGCCGATCTCAAGGCCTAAGTCATCAGCACTACTAACCATTATGTCAAGATGATTTAACATATGGTTTAAATTGAGTACACTCATTATTTTAATCTCACGTAATTAATTTGCAGGTATCCTTCAAATCATTTGTCGGCAAGATTTTAGCGTCAATCAAATATATAAACATTCAAACTTTCTAAATTTATTCTACTACCTTTCACTTTTATTTGAAGTATTGATGTGATTATCGGTTATTTTCTTGGATTTATTTTTTTTGTTTTGGTCGAATTTCTTTGATTTATAAATTATATAGCGAAATATATATATATATATATATATATAAGGAGGCCCATGGTTGGGTTTGGGCTTTTTTTAATCTTCGATTGCCGCAAACGTAGTTCGCGTTGAAATCCAACATTGGAAATCACCACTTTATTCCCAATTTGATTGACTATTGTTGGAAGGTAAATTATGTTTTTCTTATTTATTTAAAGGATACAAAATGAATTATACCAGAGATTACTAATTTAATTCATAATGTTCATGATACACCTTTTGATATTCACTATAGCAGTTGCCTAAATGAAGTCACACAGTCACACGGTTGATGTTGGATTTGTTTGAACACCCATCTAATAAAACTGGTTGTTCAAAAACTATGTAGTAAGGGATTTTAATCATTAAGGTATAATTTACAAATGAAAGGAAAAGAAACATAGGGAGAAGAGAAAAGTGATAATCATGTGAAAGAGAGCTAAAATAAGCAAACTTTGTTTTGTTCCTCTTTTTTTCCTTTTTCTCACTCTCTCTTTTCATCTTTTTTCTTTGTTCTTTCTTTTCTTTTGTGATATAAACTTTTTCTTTAATTTTTATGCATCTTTTTGGAATGAATTTAGGGTTTATAAAAAGGAGAAATCTACCTTGGGTTTCAGTTAAAAGCAAAACATAGAGAGCGTGTGAGATGTTAAAGATAACCATTCCAAAATTTTCACCTTTCTATTCTTCCTCATGTGATGAATATTTTAGTTAGTTTAGAAAAGACATTCGAAGGAATTTTTCATATGAAAATATCACTTTACTCCAAAATAAAATTAGAACATTTTCTATTTTCTTAGAATTGCGTATGTCATCGTCGTCATGATAACGAAATTTTTTGTTTTCCTTTCCACAAATTAATGCAATTCAAAATAAGTTGACATAACTGATTTGATAAACTTTTAGGACTTTAAGTGCTATCGCTAACAAAAATTGATTAGAACCATACAGAAAGTACATCATCCAGACCGAATTATAAAATTGAAAATTCCGTTTATTCGAATTTATTGGTTTTAGGGAAGAAGAACAAAAAGAGGAGTGAAAAGATAAGATAAAAGGTGGAATGTAAATTAAGAAAAGAACAATAAAATGGTTTAAAACACAAATAAAGGATTTACTTTCCTCCTCCAAAGAAAACAAAAGAGTGCAAAGAAAGAAAGAAAAAAGAAAGCATTATTTACCATTTACCACTTTTGATTTTAATTTTTATTTCTTTATCTTTTTTTTTCCTTTTTCCTTCTTTTCTCTTTCTATTTTCTTTATCCCTTTGCTTTTCTTCTCCTTTCTTAACCTAAGTTCCTCTAGCCCCCCCATGTCCACACAAACACATTCTCTCTCCTCTCTCTCACACACAATCAAGTGTCATTTTCTCACATATACTTCACACAAAAGAAACAACCATTCACTACATACTACCTTGTCATTGATTTTCTCTCTCTATATCTCAAAAATCTTTGCAAAAACAACTTAACCTCAAACAATAGAAATTATATTCTCAACAAAACCCAGAAATCTCTTCCCCTCAAATCCTTAATACCCTTTTCATTTTCCTCTTCGCCCACAATAAAAAGATAGTTTTTTTGTTCTGTATCTTGATTCAAGAAAAGAAGAACTAACTAGGGTTCATCTCTGGAAACCGACTCAAGAATCTCTTTCAAGAAGAAGAAGAAAAACATCTACAACAAATTAAAGCTCTCTTTCATGGAGCTTTTTCCTGCTCAGCCCGATTTATCCTTACAGATTAGTCCTCCAAACAGCAAACCATCATCGACATGGCAGATGAGAAGAAGATCAACAACAGATCAAGAAGGTCCCGAGGAGCTCGATTTAGGGTTTTGGAGAAGAGCTCTTGATTCAAGAACATCTTCTCTCGTCTCTAATTCCAGCTCAAAAACAACTAATAATCCTCTCGAAGACCTCTCGCTCTCTAACAACTCTAATCATCATCATCAACATCAACATCAACATCAACAACATCATCATCATCCACACCTTCTACCAAATTGCAACGGCTCTAACATCTTATCCTCTTTCCAGTTTCAGACACAACAACAACAACAGCACTTACAAGGTTTTCTTGCTCATGACCTTAATACTCACTTAAGACCAATAAGAGGAATCCCTCTTTACCAAAACCCTCCTCCACATCATCATCACCGTCCGCCGCCGTGTTTTCCTTTCGATCCGTCGTCTCTAATTCCCTCTTCTTCGCCGGCTCCCACCGGAATCAACAACAACAACAGCTTTGGTACTAGTAGCGTTAGTAACCCCGGTTTAATTACAAACCCTAATTACCACAATCATCAACATCATCATCAGACTCTGAACAGAGCGAGATTCATGCCGAGATTTCCTGCTAAACGAAGCATGAGAGCTCCTCGGATGCGATGGACCACCACTCTCCATGCCCGTTTCGTTCACGCCGTCGAATTACTCGGTGGCCATGAAAGTATGTTTCTTTTTGCTTAAAGCTTATCTCTTTTTCCATTTCTTAATCCCTTTTTCAAATTGCTTAATGGGTTCTTAATTATTCACTTGTTTCAATCGTTAATTAGGAGCAACACCGAAATCAGTTCTTGAGCTCATGGATGTCAAAGATCTAACTTTGGCTCATGTTAAGTCCCATTTACAGGTATACTTCTTTCATTAAAAAAAAGAATTTCTTTGATGATTGTTATATAAGTATATAGTTAGTGGGAGGGAAAATAAATGATAGGTATATAATTAGTTGATAATAATCTTCTCGGGTATCGATGCATTTGACTCGGTGACTTCCTTAAATCAGAGTTTCACTCGAGTCAGAACAGATCGAATCTTGTTTTCTTCTGATCCTTCCTTTTTTATTCTTATCTTAATTAAGTCCGATTTTGCTCACCAATAATGCAACCGTTGGATGAGTTAAAGACAAAAGAGAAATGTATATAAACATTCCATACATGTAAAAAAAATCTCTTTTTTTTTTCTCTGCTAGATCTGATGGTCCTTGTAGACGATAGACAGTCTTTTTTATTGCAAGTTTAAACTTTCTTTCGCCTTGGAAGAATAAACTTGTCCTGTTACAAGTAAACCAAAAATTACTCAATATTACTATTACTGACACAATAGAATAGAAAGTTAGAGAGAGAAATAGAAAAATGTAGCAATTACGTATGTAGCTAATTAAATAAAAAAATAAACTCCGAAAGAAATTCAAGAAAAAACATAAGTACTTTTGGTTCTTATTATCCTTTTTTTTTTCTCTTGGGTTTACTTAATACACCCAAATTTAGACTTTGTTTCTACATAATCATATGGTTTTATGATGTCAACAAAAAATCATATGCATGGTTTTATATTTTTTCAATTATTCGAATCAAGTTTTAGTGGGCTATAATATTGTTTGTAATGTATTATATGTAGATACTACGTAGACTCGAATGCCTAAGAGCATAAAATCTTAGGACAATCTAATTAGGATGAATGTCCAATTTTATGTATATTTCCAAAAGAAAAAATATTTTTAATAATAAAAAATAGAAAATCAGATAGGGAGAGTACAAGAAACACCATCATTTCTCAATGATGAAATGGTTTTGGTCTTACACACAGTCACAGTGAGAGAGAGAGAAAGAAGAGGGTTTATTTAACTTAACCATGGTTCCACTTTTCCATATGTTTTAAATGGGCTACGTTTTAACCATGGTTAGACACATAAATTTATGCATGGGTACATGAAAATCGTAAACTTCATTAATAATGTCAATTATTGCCTCTGTGTCTGAACAGTCCTATATTTTTCCTCTTTTTTTATCTTCCAATGTGTCTGTGCATATGTGTATATATATATATAAGTTTTATATTTTGAAAATTTGTTGGTACTATTCAACTGTGTCGGAACACAACAGTACATTGGTCTCCTTTCTTTGGTCTCTTCTTCCTTTGTCAAATAATTCGATACATGCATCTTAGCATATATATATATATATACGGAGGTTCAGACGAAAAGTAATTTAGAATTTGCTTTTTGACTTAATCGATATTATGAAATTGTACATGCGTTTTCAAAATTATTTTATTGATGTATTTTTTTTTTTTTTTTATAATATCAGATGTACAGAACAGTGAAGACAACCGACAAAGCAGCAGCTTCGTCAGGTTAGTGTTAGAGAAATCATTTAGATTCTTTTCGGGTGAGATTATTGGATTTACAAAATTTAATAATTACAATGTGATTTTGATAGAACCACTAATTGTTTCTTTTTCTAAATATGATTCAGGACAATCTGATGTTTATGAAAATGGATCTTCAGGAGATAATAACTCAGACGATTGGATGTTCGATATGAATCAAAAATCTAGAGATAACGAAGAATTGACGAATCCTCTTGAGAAATCAAATGGTCTATGGACCAATTCTTCCGGGTACGTATAAATACGGTCTATCTATACATACAGTCATGTCTAGATATATCATATATATAGATTGATTATTCCAACATATTTATTAACGTGGAATCTAGCTTAAGCACGTGCATGCCACTATATATTATGTATCCATACGATATAATAAGAGTATAAGACTTGAAACATATTTGATTTCGAAGAATTACGTTCGGTTTATGTTTTTTTTTTTGTGCTTCGATTTATGTTTGTCCTTTGTATTTCTGTTTTGTCTCTTTCTCAGCCACAAACCCAATGGATCGAGTTGAGACAAAAATACATGATGGGTTAATCATCATGTGCTGTTTTGTGTATCAATTTTACAGTCTGGATCGGTAGCTAAATTTAAGAAATAAATATCACTCAAATGATTATCTTCAATATGCTATGGCTTTTCGTTTTGTTTACGTAATGCATGAGTAATATGTAGTATATTACGATTCTGCATAGGGCGTACATTTAGTTTAAATCAATAATCTTTCATTGGATTTTGTGGGACTACTTAGCCAAATAATACTATTTCTATTATGAATATGGCCACTGGTTAGTAAAATCTTAACCCCAAGCTGAATTCTAGATTGGTTCATTACATGAAAATGATAGTCAAAAAGAAAAAAAAAACCTGTATGCATATTACTCAATTTAATATATATATATAGTGCGTTAATTAGAATATGACATTTCTTCAAATTATTTCGATGTAGGTAACTTAAAGTTCTTTTAGCATGGTTACACATTGAACAAATGGGCAAACACATGGGTTGGATGAAAAGATTGATTTCTCAACTTTACACTTAAATTAAAGTAAAAAATTATTAGAATATAAAACATAGTTCTATATTTTGCTTACGTTAAACATACAGCCATGCCAGTCGACAAAGATAAAAACAACTTTGTTACTGCCAAAAGAAAAACGCATTGTTTTATTTCGTCTTGTAATTTCTTATCTTTCTTATCTTTCTTTTCACTTTTCTTCCTCTTTTTGTTTATTTCTTTGATTATTTTATTTATTTTCTTAAAGCGCAAAACATATATATCCCTCTCATATTACTAAGCTTTTGTTGGCTTTTGCAGAGAGGCACGTTTGCATGGGAAGCTAATCGATAACGTTGCAGAAATTATGCTACCTTCTGAGGTACGATACATCTTTTTCTGCAAATATAACTATGTATACTTGAATATGTGTATGTATATATTGTACTAATATCAATTTTTATTTATGAATTGTCGATTTCTTTTCATTGCTAAGTCACCCGAAAACCTCAAAAGGGGTGCCACAAAAAGGGCTTTCATTAAAGCTTTGCTTTAGGAATTTTCAAAAGCAAACGGTATTTTTATTATTTAGACATTTACTAGAAAAAATAAAGAAAACCTAACCCATTGACATTGACCACGATGAGTTTTTTGTTTTGACCTTTGACACGCTTATATTGTGACTTGTGAAAGCTTAAGCCTTGAGGTGCGGTTATCTAAGTTGGCTTATAGGTCCATATGGACAAAAGCAAAACCATGGCAGCTACCATTGAACAATTGGAATATATTTATATATATGTGTCAATGTCAAACACTAGTAGCTAGTACTTATGACGATATATGCGCTAAGCTTATATCTTAGTACTAATGTCTTACAATAACCTTAACCCTAGGTAAATATTGAAATCCCTTTCACTTTGTGTTGCATGAGTGTCTGCGCTTTTTGTTTCATTTATCAAGACTTAAAAATTTAGATATAAATCCCGTTAAAATGAATTATCACTATACGGTGGAACTATATATTTCTTATAAATATGTTGCATGAGCTTTACATCTACTTTCCTATCTCCTTTTGTCAATATAGTTAAGTTCACGTCCATGATCATCATATTCACAATGCTTTTCATACACATGTACATATTAAAAATGATAACCATTCACAGTATAGAGAAAACTAGCTAATGGTGGTTGATGATAATTTTTGTTTTTTTTTCGGCATTCAACTAAAACAGAAGGAAGTAGATGGAAAGTGCTCAAGCTATGAGAGGATATCATCAGAGGAGATGAGCTCATCAAGCATCTCGGGAACAAGCCCCTTCAAGCCTAATCTTGAGTTCACGTTGGGTCGATCTCACTAAATTTATTGTTGTAGCTAGCTAGCTAGTAATTAATTAGTATTAATTAACTCATATTTTGGCTAATGAATAGTTTCGATATTCATATCAATTGAATAAGTTTTTGTTTAATGCTTAGATGTCAATGTCCTCTCGGAAGGTTGTAAAACACTGTTCTTTTTCCTTCTCTATTGAGAAGAGCTAGTGAAAGAATCGACTACTAGAGGCTCAATAAATGTTATGTTTCTTTTCTTGAACTTTAATGATTTATTTATATTTTAAAAAACGATGTTAAAGTATGGAAATATAAATAAAGAATTATAATAGAGAAAAAGGGAAGACATAAAAAGAGAAAAAGCAGAAAAAAAATGAAAAGAGGGAAAAGGTATAAAAGAAAGACAAAAGAGAGGACATGAAGGAAAAAAAAGCAAACAAATTAAAGACAATAGGTAAAGTTAATTTAAAAAAAGAATATCTATAGTTTTTCTACAACTACTGTAAAAAGGAAATTGTTAAGAAAAAATGGATGTGAATTATTGTTAATCTATGATTAATGATTACCTTTGTGGTTGCCCTTAAGATTTTAGAGTGGTATAAAGCATATGAACTGTCTGTCGCCATTAGCTTTTCGAAAAGATAATTAACTTATAGAGTAAAGCAAAGAATATCTCTTTATTCTCGTAAAAAGAAAACAATATCTCGTATGATTTTTGGTCCAAAGTATTAATTTGGGACTTGTTTCTTGCAATACTTATATAGATATCAGTATGTATCACTAAAGTTCGTTGAACATATCATAAGGAAAAAGTAAAAGGCATAAAAGAGAAAATAGAATAATTTGAAAGCATAAGGTAGATTCCCACCAAAGAATGTTTAGTTCATTGCTTTCACTTAGGAGGGCTTGATGTTTCCTTACTCCTCAACACTCTATTTTTCAGTATTTTGTCCTCCTTGAGTACACATATTACAATTAAGGATAACAATTGCTATCCATCCGACAGTCAAAATGATCAATACATAGTTGAGCATATAGAGATCAAGTTAATTGCTGGTTTTGTGATGGATTTTAATTTACGCTATACTGGCGCGGGGTTTCAAACTATAACGTTCATAATGTGACTAAATTTTTAAGATGAGTAAATACTAGAATTGTAATTTGTATATGTAAAAGATACTGACAAAACAAATATATAGTTAAAATTCAAAAAAAAAAAAGACAAAACAATGAGGATAAAATTGTATCTATTTTTGTAATTTATTGTGGGATAGACTGTAATGGATTAGGTAAAAATCAATGTGTAAATATTTAGATCATTGTTACTGGTCCTTTGGTGTTAAGAAAAAAAGAAAAGAGTGTTACGTTTTAATTATTAGCTAAAAAATAGCAATGAAAGAGAAAAAAAAAATTAATCACGATTTTTATCTAGATAACACATCGAACCTATAGATTGTTAAAAAAAAACACAGCTCTCACCATAAACACTCGTGAAGTAGAAAAGTAAGAAACACACATTATTTACATCCTCACGTCGATTACAAACTAGGATCCAAGAGTATTTTTCGGCACAATTTTTTCATGTGTACTTCACTCTCTCCAAACACAATGTTCATAGTGGTTGCAATTTTGTAATCAGAATAAGTTAAAAACAATGTTCGCAAAATATAAGACCAATTGTTCTCAAAATCTCACCATAAATATATTTTTTTGTTCTCAAAATAAGTTTTTCTTGTCTTGTATCTTCATTTGCAACAAAAATGGAGATTTCATTCGGACTTAAGCATTTAGTCATTTAAAATTTTCTTCCGTTCACAGATTTTGGCATACTTACTCCTTTTTAAAGCTCCACGTATCTTGAGCAAGTTCAAGCAACCCTCAATCCAATTTCCACGTTATGGTTTAATTAGTTACCATGTATGTTGGAATTTCTGATGTATGAACCGCATCTAAAAGATTTTAATTTCTCCTCTAGAAATCGTATACCTAATAACATACAACATCATAATGATGTGCTTCGTGCGGGCCTAATACATGGATAAGCATTTTGCATTTTGTAACCAAAATAAACTTCAACCAATTTCATGATTATACATTTTTTCACAGAATCACAAATATCAGTTAGTCACACAGAATGATTTAAACCACCCTTTCAAATATGTTAAACCATTTAACTGCTAATCAATGTTCTTTCCATGGTTAATTTTCTCATAAACATGTTCACAATCTTATTAAAGATCATGCTAATTTTGAGTCAATCATGGCATACATTGATCTTTCTATTGTACTTGCATAAAGAATACATTCTATGTCTTGTGGATTTAAGCTTCTGATTCTGGACATAAGTTTTTAAATTTGAAATGTGAACCAACTAGAGTATGAAATGAAATAGCTGTCCTTATCCTACTAAAAAATGATATGGAATAGCTGAACCAACTAGTTAAATCACGGTAGTTTGCATATTTAGATTCTTTGTTGTTAAACTTAAATTCTTCATTCCGAATTTGATGTTTAAACTTTCCCTAAATCTTTTGATCTGCACCTATATTAAACAAAAGCCTAATATATGAACAAAACTCAATTAACGTTTTTATATTTTTTATATATGATATAATATATCATTTAATGTGTACCAAAGAAAATAGCAAAGAATTATTCACAATAGATTGAAAAACTTATCCAATATCATTGTGGCCGTGAATATTTAGGACCCAGCCGATATCAAAACATTTTGCCGAAGTACTCCAAATATCGACATAAAATTAATATCAAAATCATTCATATTTTTTAAGAGAAACTTAAGTATGGTATCGAAGGAAAATTAATATTAATATCCAAATCCTCCAAATCCAAATCCAAGTATGGTATCGAAAAAAAAAAAAAAGGTATGGTGGTCTTCATTGTATGGGTACTCGCATTTGACAATTGAAACACGGCCTTATGTCACTGTCATGTCACGTGCAACGTGAAACATCCCAAACATTAGTATTCTTTTATACATTATATTATTATTGTGAATAAAAGTTTGAAAGCAAAACAGAATATGAAAGGCATGCAAAAGGTAGTAATCATTCACCAATAATTGCAACATACACCCACCCACTCATCTAAACTATTAAATGTTATTACATATTTTGCGAACAAAAATATTTACTAACTAAATCATATTGACCGCAGCCAGCAATGCAAATCTACAGATTTAAAATTTAAAATGAGTGAAAAATTAAACAAAATAATAGATATGATTGCCAATATGTAATTATATACAGAGTTTGATTAATTTTCTTACATGTATATACAAGTTCAAAGTTGTAGGTGTTGTGGTAATAAATGATAGTATAATATAGTATAAGTTTAATGACATAAAGAGGGGTGGCACAAGTTAGTAGATCCATAGGAATCAGAAGGAGAATTATGGGAAAAAGAGAACAATTGGTCTTACTCTCTCTCTCTTAGCTAAAAGTATTTCATCTGTCCTTTCTCCTTGGGCTACCCCAAATTTATTGACTTTCCTATTAAATTAATATACTTATATATTAAGAATAATTATTATTTTTGTTAAGAATATTAGCAACTCAGTGACTAGATTGTTGCCTAAAACCGAAATGATATCACGCTAATAGTAATAGGTAGAGAGATAAGTAACGATATTTATGTAAATGTAAGTATATTATACATGAGCTACTTATGTTCATTTGTAAAACATTTTAATATATATTTTTTTTTTGCTCGCTTCTGTCACTCTCTCTCTTTCTCTCAGCGTTTGAGGCAAAGACTGAAACACTGCTCGATATTATTTACTGTCGTACGAACAGAAGAGCACGAAGTCCACAGAATGTCAAAAGTATATATTATTAATCCATCATTACATTATCATTTCAACTTTGGACTTTCGTACACATTCTCTCATCCACGTGTCGTAATCTTAACGTTCGATTTGTTGGGTCTCTGCTGCTCTGCCAGCCGTCAGATCTGATATTGCCAAATGTTGCAAATATGTTATACTGATCAACAAGAAAGTGACCAGTAAAGTTGACGCTCCTTGTTTTCACCTTCAAGAGAAATCTCTTTCTTCTTCCTTTTTTTCTTAAAAATTTTGTTTTTAATATAGCCTGTAATTCCAAAAAGTTATAACCTTGCAAAGATAAAAAGGTTTTTCCTGAGCAATTTCAAAAAATGTAAAATCTTCTTTAAATCATAGGCTTTTAATGGTTGCTGTGGTTGAAATAGTGTAGTGTTTCTCGGGCTAGTGAGATCAACGCAATCAATATGATAATACTATAATAAATTACACATTTTAACGAATTTTTTTATTAAAACAAATTCTAGTAAAAATAGTTTACTAAAACCTAATCAGCCATAAAAAAAAATCAAACTAAGTGGTTACAGTTCGAAGAAATGAGTCAGTATAACCTTAATTAGCATGTATGAGTAACTAAAACTCATAAAATTTAAATATGTACATGAAATAGTCTATATATTCATTATTAAAGGAAAAATAAACACAGAAGAAATCATAAATCCATTGATAAAACATCGCTTTGGGAATTCAAAATGCTGAGAGTGGTCGTACATTGTATAGCATAAGATTGTATATGGTAGAAGAAGGCAGTAACAATGAAATTTAATGTAAAAACAAACTTTTAACCAAGAAATGTAAAACAAAAAAAAAGTGGAAGAGACTATTTCATGAAATTTGCAGTGTTAATTGAGTAGCTCGAGGAGCTTTTGCATGGGGAGAAGCTGTGGTTTGGGTCCCATCAACGTTAATTCAAACGTCAATACGAGAGAGAGAGGATGCATGAATGTATGGGTACATTTACATATATTGGATAATAATAATAAAATTTGGCAAATCTAGTTCAATAATGTCAATCAATTTTCTAGCATTTGACATAGAGATTAGAGACATTGTTTATTAATTTGATGATATATAAAAAAAAAAATCCCGTACCCATAAATCAGATCAACAAAAGAATAAGAGAAATATGTTCAAATAAAAAAAAAGAACAAGAGAAAAGAAAAAGAAAAAAGAATAATGCAGAAAGTGGAGAAGACATATAAACAAAAATAATTGTTCTCTTACAGGACAACGGATAATAAGGCGAAATTCTCGCGGGAACCAACGCCTCCTTCTTTCTATCCCCTCCGTAATTAATAATCAGACAAAAGAGATACGTACAAACACAAATATTCATATATATTTTTGTTAAAGCAAATACTCACATACATACATTTATA